TTTAATTATATTATACAGGATGTATAAAGAATATATAATATATTATCTTTGATCCATATCTACATCTCTGAAACTCCAAAAAGTGCATTTTATTTTTGTAGTTTATAATTCATTGCTTTCTGCGTATTTCTTTTAAGGGAAAAAATCGACTCTTGCTTTCGAAAACTCCATATGGCTTGGCAGATCTAGAGTCTGTAAAGTTTGGAGAGAACACGTGATACCTACGACACCTCGTATAAACATACGCATGCACACATTCGCGTGCGCAGAATACACACGGAGAACGCGGAGAATGCTCACAGGAATTCAAGAGACAGGGACGAAGGTGTGGTCGGGAAACGACGACGAGGGTTGCTACAGGGGTGGGCAAGGTCGAATAGGGAGAAGAGGATAGAGACGTTAGGGTTTTCATTGGAAACTGACGACGCCTGCGGGAGCTTACGGGTGCGGGATTACGAGAGACAGTTGGAAATCCGATCAAAACAAATGGACTGCGAAAATACTTCGTCTCTCTCTCCCTCCCTCTCTCTCTCTCTCTCTCTCTCTCTCTCTCTCTCTCTCATCCTCTCTTTCTGTGCGTATGCCTTTCTCTCTTCCTATTTCTCTCATCTTCACCCACGCTCCATCCAATATTCTCGGAAGGGGTTACAAGCGACTTGGACCGCCGATACGCAGATTTTCCTGTATCTATGTATATCGAATACGAGACACCCCTCTTAGTAGCCGGAAGACGCAATTTGAATACCGATAAGACAGATCGCTCGCTGATCGCGAAGTAATGGCCGGCACTGATTTCTCGCCTCTATCTATCCCTTTCCTTTTACGCACACGAAGATACCTCTCACGGGCACCTTCGCACACACGGAAAATACTACTATCAGTGGTGTAATAAGGTAAACGTACCAGTGACTGAACCTGTATCTGTAGCTGAACAAGTACACAAAACAAGCACCAAAAACTTATTTTGAAATGCTTTTTTCATAATATTATATTTTAATTGTAATCTTTAAACATTTTTACAATTAAATTTTGATATTATAGTAAAAAAAGCATTTGAGATTAATAAATTTTGTGTACGTGTTTAGATATAGATACACGTTCAGTCACTGGTACGTTTACCTTAATGTTCAAGTTCCGAAACTCCTTCGCACAAGCTTAAGACGATAAGAAATGTACAGAATAGCATAATTCTTTTCCGAGAGTTATACAGAGGAGTCAGAGTTAAGTGGCAAAGAACTCGAGTAGCATGTGACTAAATAAAACTTTATCTAACTGGCGAATATTATCTGTGCAACAGAACATAATGCAATAATATAAAATTAGGATAATAAGCTGTGTTTCAAATCCGATTATGCGGCGCGCAGTTTACGTGTGGCTAGATATTGTAAGAAAAAACTATTACACACTGACATCCGTGTTAGCTCTAATAGGTCTTTATTGTAACATGTTTGATTTATTCTAGAGAGCTCGTGTAAATAATTATTATAAAATTAGGAGTTTATATTATTAACTTAACTGAATTATATATATAAAATAAAAATCGATTTATATATAAAATAAAATTAATATTTTTTTCCATATATTGAAACATTGGTTTATTCAGAATTAATAAATGTTAAAGTTGTCAGTGAAATAGCTATATTTAAAGGAATTTCTTTTTTGAAGAAAAAATATTAATGAATATTGTTATATGCTATAACTTTTCACTAAATTAAAATAATGTTAATTATCTGTTTACACCTCTAAAGATTAATTTGTAAAATGCTCTTTATTTTCATTAGCTTATAGCTTCAGAATTGAAGCTAGAAATTCTTTTGAAATGACGTGTTTAATTCATCGATTTTAGAATACAGCTCACCTGCTCAGTTTAATTAATACATTTTTGAATAGTTAAAGAAAAATAAATTAGAAATTGAGTTAACTCGCGTTTATTTAAGGAAAAACCGGTATGTACATTCGCAGCTTAATGCCACTAAGGAAAGTCATTTCGTATCAGATTAACATTGCGATATCGCGGTAATAACCGTGATATTCGCCTCGTCGCTCGCTGATTGCAAAGTAATGACCGTCCCTGATTTTCTGTTCGTGCTTCTCACGTACGCGTCCGTGCAACTCCCCCTGCTCCCACCCTCACCCACCTATACGTATTCTCTCCTACTGCTGTGCTTGCCAGCTACGAGGAGAGAGGAAAGGGCCATTATCACGTAGTCGACGAATTCGAGTTTGAAGCGTTTCCACGTGGAATTTAAGAGAAGCGCCCGCGTGACACCTAGAAAGCACGTGCCCTATCTATCCGGCGCTATTCGGCGTTAAAAGCGGCGACCTTGAATTTAAGTCGTCGCTCGGGTAAAAGGATCGGAAACGCTCACGTGCCGATCGAGAATCTCCTTAAGAATTCTACGGCGGGGAAGTTTGCGGAAGCTATATCGAACCGCAAGATTTCTCTCGAATTAACCCCTTTCACGACGGAACACGTACCCACGAAGTAGAAGTTACTGCTTAATTTTATTATCAGTTGTTTTAAAACTAACTTCAAAATCCGTTCATGATATCTCGCGCAGAGCTGGACTTCGCTATATCAGCGAAATAAATGATAATTAAAGTCAAGCTTAAAGAATACGCGGAAATTGTTTGAAAAATCCGATCTTAGCAAGGATTGTAAAAAAAAAGAAGACTTCTATTAATATAAGCTTCAAGATTATTGTTATTATTATTAGTATAATCTTATTATTTGTATATTACTTAATGTGTAGTATTTTTTCTTTTCTTTATTTAATTAAGCTCGAGAAATGTTAGCAAATCTTCCTCCCGGCAAATCGTTCCATATACTGTTATTTAATACTGAATTCATATATACAGTTTGCATTTGTAAATCTCTGCGTTTACAGACGATGGAAGGATTCCCCCGATCGATCCGTGAGTCGCGATGTAAAATCCTAAATGCTTAATGCGGCGTGCGTGGCATACGTGATCACGGATACGCAAACGTGCAACATTTATGCATCGCTGTATTGAAAAGTGTATCCCGCCGGATATTCAGTAGTTTATCAGCGAGCTCAGCGAAGCATTTTGACGATCAAATTTATTCCTTCCAATCGGATGCACAACAGATATGATGGATAGTGGATTAAAGGATTTTTGCGCATGTTGTATGGGATTAAGAGGATAGCAGACGAAAGGATTATTGTTTTATAATCCCGATGCCCTGAATTTCCTTGGACTCTGCCGCGGAGTTTGATCGCGTTTAGTATTATATTATATATCCATGAAAAACACAATATACAAAAAAAGAAACCGCTGTTGTCCCTTGTCACATTTAATAGAATTGATGAAATATGCCCGAATAAATAGGCAATCTTAGATAGTATTTTACAAAAGTAGAATTCTTGTTAATTACTCGTAAATTCTTATAAAAAAAGATTTTAATTATTGTAAACATATCTAAAATGTTTAAAATGAAACATACGTAAAATATAAATCTAATATTAAATATTAATCTTTTTTAATAAAATAATTAAACAATTATTTTATTAAAAGATGTTAATATTTAATATCTTTTAATTTTAAACTTATATTTTATGTATATTTACGTTTGTATTCCATATTTCGTTTACAAATCTGATTAAAATCTTATTTCTTACACAGAAATAACAATCGAAAAATGATATAGCTGAAAAGTAATTAGTTTAAAAATTAATAATCACTTATGTTCATTTTTCATTTACAACTAATTTAGAGCTTAGAATTATTATTCTCGTATGTAATGGATTAACTCATTTTTACGCTGTACAACTGTCGAGTTGAAATTACAATTTGTGCCGAATAGATATATGTATCAAAATGTCGCCATAATATCATTCAAACCAATTTGCGACATAAATGCCAATACGACCCTAAAAAAAATAACGCATATCGACAATTATCAGGAGAAGCAGATTGTACAGTTAGGCGGTATCTCGAAATAAACGGCACGTGCTGACGCGTTACGGAAATATCAGAGCCTTCCCCCTTGCACAAATGACATCCAGTTTCCTACCAGGTGGTCTCCCCTCCTACACACTTCCCCCGCTCAGTCTCTGTCATATTGCTTTACGCCATACGGAACATCGCATGCGGATGCCGTACAAAAAACGAAGGCAAACCGGCCACGTGACACCGTGGATAATAATAACGTTACGATACCCCATTTAGACTTTCGATACAGTTCCTCCCAAAGGAGTCGCTCGATCTACCAACTGCTTTTGTATGCTGTCCTGATCGCAGCGTCCCTTTCATCCGTTCAAAGGGCGCAAACGTCGGGACGTCTAGTTTTACCCTCACCCTACACGTCACGAAGGGTAGTTAACGTCGATGCGATATAAGATAGAGGTACAATGTTGATGACGTTTGAAGAAGTAATTTAATCCACGTATTGAACGCGTCGATTTTACGCAATGACGTTTTAACTAGTTTTTTTTTGTAATTGAAAATGTAAGCACATTTTATTTTAAATAATCGTATTAATATATTTTAATTTTGCCTACTATAAACATTATATAATCGCAAAAACTTTAACATAATTAAATTCTACAATAAATTTTTTTAATATAAATGTAAAAATAATGTCAATGACGTTTATTTATATTTTTTAAATCAGCTGGATTTACATAAGCTATTCTCTTTAATATAATTATATCACTAGATAACTTATTTTTCTATAATTATATAATTGATGAAATGAAGAATATATCAAATTAAGAGAGAAATGTAAAATTGATGTATTAAATGGTATATCCACCGATTCTATATAGGCCAAATATATCATAGTATTAATCTATGCTGATGAACACTGAGAAAAAAGGAGTAGCTGCGAAAAGAGAATGGATGGAAAGTCGGCGTTTTAACACTTATTCAAGCAAAAATTTAAATAAAGGCTTAATCCGACTTCAAGTTCATTAAATATGCAATCCGTATCATTGGCCCTCTTGATAAATTTACATGTAATGGATCTCTTCATTCAGGTTCTTGGATTCAAGGACACATATATATGGCTTAAGGATGATAATCCGAGCCAGAAGAAAAGAGGAAATATTCGCCTGACGAAGGCTCTTAATGCAAACTCTAAGGTAACATTTTTATACTGTATGCTATTTTATGATTTTAAAGAACTTTCTGTGAAGAAAATTCTGTACCAGAGCTTTGAAATTAATAATTTCTAATTATAAATCTTAAGTCTTTTTTAAGTTAAGAAATTACTAATTTTGTAAATAAATAAAAATATTGGTAATAATATTAGTAATAAGTTTTGCAACAAGTATAGCTGTGTAAATGCAAAATTATTTGAGGAAGATGCAACTTTCTTAACATAATTTACGTTTTATCGAGGAAAGATCATCTGGGCGGATCAACAGAAAATTATCAAACGAATTAAACGCGATTATATCTCGTCAGCCGATTTGGATTCTGAAAGACCTTTAACGCGAGAGAAACGTCTACACTTAATAAACATATATGAAGATGCACCAAATGGCAACATAAATCATGATGCTGTCCATAAATTACGGACATTCAACGATGAACTTTGGGATCAGGAATGGTATCTGGTAATTATAGTTTATAATATTTATACGATTTCCTGTAATTTTTCAGTAAATAATGCTTTATTATATAACAGAGATTTATAATAAAATAATTTTAATATAAAACTTAATTAAGATAAAATTAAGAAAATAGTTTTAGTAATTCTTTAATTAATCTACGAAAGAAGTACTGCCATGCGCATGTTATGTATTATATTTTTTTAGCATCAAAACAATTAAAAAATTTAAAATATATTTATTATACACTAAACTTTAAAAATTTGGTATGATGTACCCAAATGAATAAGCCTAAAATTAATCGATTGGTAAAAGTAAGAAAAATTTGCGCAAAAGAGCAAAAGTAGTACAAATATCTTATGACAACAGTACAAGTAAATGCATAATTAATAATCTTATTTATTTATATAATTAATGTATTTAATTTAATTTATTATTTGCTATAAAAAAACACGTACTGATGGTGTACATCAGTACATGAGTTTCCAATAATGAAATGTATGTACATACATAAATTTTACAGTGATTTATATGAGCCACTCAGAAGCCAAATTAATCAACATTATTTTTCGTGAAATGATTAGTTTCTAATTTTATCAATTTTCTCTACATCTTGTTTCATAAAGTCGAGCAATTTGAGAGACTCATACATCATCCTGCTTTTATCATTTTTTTTTATTTCTAATGAATTCTCTTTATCAACCGCCGCAGCAAGATACGAGGACGAATAAAGCTTTGCCGAAGCTCGACTTAAACGTTCTGCCTCTCTATCGACTGGGGATAACTGGTCGTGGAGTAAGGATTGCTGTTCTCGACGATGGTTTAGAATACACTCATGATGACCTGCGGAACAACTACGTATGTAACTTTTGCTTTGAACTTTGTGGTCGTCTCATAGATGACGAAACGAGTAGCTTAAAAATTTATTTTAAACCAGAAAACATTATTCTATTATATTTATGTACTCTCCTCTATCACATGCTATTACTTCATATGTACCTACATATATTATATTCAAATTGCATACATATTTTATCTAAGATTAAACATTTTATTTTCATATATCGATATTATGATCGATTATTTTTTTAATCATCTTTATACTTTAATATTACTCAAAGAAAAATAGAGAATTATTTTCGAGAAACATAATAATATTTGTTACCTTAATTCTATCTCTTGTATAATTGTAACATTTAAAATTAGGATGCGGCCATTAGTTACGACATAAATGAAGGCGATGATGATCCTTTTCCAAGATATGACGTGTCAGGTAATTTCTATTTTTACAAAGGTATATACGATAATTATTGTATAATAATAAAATTAAATTCGTGGAAATAATATCTTCTTTTACACATCTACTTTGCACGCTTATTTAATAAAATAAATTTAAAAAGTTCACATAATTTAAATCACGAAAATATAATTAATATTTTAAGCGCTTGAAATAGCTTACAATACATTAAATAAAACGCGTTCAGAGCATTTAATAATACAATACACATAAACCGGTTAATCGTAAAATTGGTTGAAAATTCGCTCTTGCAGAAAACTTTATTACTAACTTTAAAACTTTGCGCTACGTAAACTATTTACCTCTTTCTAATCTTAATCTATGTGCAAAGTTATTATCTCCAAGTTTAACGTTCTCGCTTTTATATTACTTACGTCTTGAGATTTATTAAGAATCAGATTTTTATTTATAATTAAATAATTAAAATTAATATTCTTTTGTATCAAATCCATCTAGAGTTAACCGGTAAGATAAATATAAAAAAATCTGTAAAGTCTTCGTAGTTTAAAAATATAAAAGTTTTTCTTAGAAGTAAGAAGAGTGTCATACATATAAAGTATGTATTACAATTCTTATGTTTATTTGTGTGTGGTGTGTGTGTAAAATATTTACAAAGCAAAAATAAGAAAATGTTATCCAATAACATAAATTAAAAATTCTTTTTCAGCGTGCAACTTATTAAAGATAATTTACTAAAATATTACATATTCCGAAGAAATAGCTTTTTTATGTATAGAATCCTCACACGTTTTTACGTAGTATTATCGCATAATACGATCATATTTTTATGAATATTAAAACACAGGATGAAGGTATTTGTAACTCGGTCATTCGAATAATGTAGTAACGACCTAAGAGTTCGGTCAATATGGTCTAATAAATAATTCACCTGCTGGAAGAGAAGGAGGGAGGGGTAAAAGTGTTAACGTGTCGATATTAATGAAATTTGTGTGGAACCAGATCGAATATATGGTTAGTCGCATTGTCCTCAAATCATCTCATTCATAGGTTTACAATCTATTATTAATTAAATGCAGTTATACAGGGTAAAATCAATTATGAAAAACGCAAGCGATTTAACTTTGATTTACTGCATATTTCAATAAAACGAACGTTAATTATTTGTTAATATTATATTTGTTAATATTTTAAATTTTTAAATATTATTTAAAAAACACCAAATTCGATCTCCTTTGGGAAAAATTATCTCTGTATCTCTAAAAACAATTTTTATAAATAGGAAGGAAGAACGCAATAAATCTAGGGCGCTCTCTGTAGAACTTCTAATAAAATACGTGTGGAAAGCGTTATCTTCTTTATAACTCCATACGTCCAAAGCGTACTCTGCTTATGCATTTTTATCAATGGATATTATATCATTCGAGTGAAATTATATACGTTGTATTCTGAATTTCAAAATCAAGTTCGAAATGTTACGGAGCGAAATCTCAAGACCCTTCACGTAGACGTTCCCACCGTTTGATTCCTCTCGCCGTACACGGCGAACTTTGGCCGAGCTTCGCCGACGCGATTGAACATTACTATTTCACGCTCGCGTTACAAATTCAACTGCTCCTCAGGGATGAACGGTCACGGTACCAGGTGCGCCGGCGAGATAGCGATGGAGGCTGACAACCAAAAGTGCGGCGTCGGTGTCGCTTTCGAGGCATCCATCGGCGGCATCAAGCTCCTCGATGGCCTGGTGAACGACCGTGTGGAGGGCGAAGCGCTGGGGTACAGAATCGAACTTATTGACATCTACACGGCTTCCTGGGGACCGGCGGACGATGGAAAGAGTTTGGAGGCACCTGGTAGACTCGCTGTCGAAGCGCTCGAACGTGGCATAACAGAAGTCAGTTTGCCACCATTGTTCTTTAACGTACTTTAGAATAAAACAGTATCTCTTAAAATTAAATTTCTCCTTTAGAAGAAAAGAGTTTATAACTTCAAATAAATTTATATAGATTCGAGGCTCAAAAAAATTGAAATAATAAATTATCTTAAAGGCAAAGCTAATGTGATTCTACGAGTATTATTGATGACTTTTAAAAATACAACGAAATTTTTACGATGAGTATTGTATTTCTCTTCAAATATGATTTTTTTATTTTTGGAAGCATAAGAAAAAAAAGTGAAAGTATGAGCTTTGTACTCGAAAGTCTCTCTAATAGGATCACACTAGTGGGTTGACTTTACGTCAGAGTTAAAACAGATTTTCTGGTCGCTTAATATTTAAACAAGCTTTTAACACCGACTAAGCTTAACTTGATGTTAAATTTTAACGATGTTTTCCACGATGATACTTGTTGATCGTTTTTTGATCAAACAGTAGAAGATCCTAAATCTGTCTTCTTTCCCACTTTTTTACTTGCTACAGATTTATCTTTGCTGACGCAGTTTTTTTATGATATCCCGCGATTTATCTGCGGATTGCGTACTCTACGTGAACGTCCGGTAAAGTAAATTATGTCTCGCGATAATCAGGTTTACTTCTGAGTAAATAAATTCCTGCAGAATATATTAACTTGGAAATATTTATTAACTCACTAATCTCGAAAGTTTGACTGAAATTAAGGACGATTAAGAAGAGTGTCGAGAAAAGGTTCAAGAATAATTTAATTTTGTGAGCGCAATATAAGATTCGACACTCTACGTGTCCCTTTTCCCCGTGTACCTTTCTTGAGGATTTTGCTACGCCGACAAATCCATTTTGTACGATTTCCAAAATATGTCGTCTTTAATATTACCGCAAGCGTTAGTCCCCTTGGCTTCAAAGAGATGCTCGTGTAAGGCACTCTCTAGCGTTTATAAAGTGTTCTCTTCTCATTTCTTTTCGAGGATTAAATATGGACGAGATGAGTCTAACAACGGCCTGAGGGAAAGGCTCGATTTACTTGTGCATATTTATAACGGCATCTTTTATGCAACAGCATCTTTCTTTCCGCGAGGCTACAGCACACTTTCCAAAATACCACGGCAATTTTTCAATATATATAATTTTCGTCTTCATTTATCTTTTAGCTCGTTAGGAAATTATTTGCGCGAATAAATTATTCGTGACTCGAACGTATAACGTGACGTGAAAGTTTTATCATTTCGTAAATTAATTTACTTTAATATCGCTTGTGGCAATGTTATTAATACTTGAACATTCGACAGGGCCGTGAAGGTAAAGGTAACATTTATGTTTGGGCTTCTGGGAATGGTGGCTCTAAATCGGATGACTGCGGATGTGACGGATACGTCGGGAGCATATACACCGTGGCTGTCGGATCAGCCAGTCAAACCGGAAGATTTCCTTGGTATGGAGAAAGATGCCCCGCTACTCTCGCTACGACGTACAGCAGCGGCGCGTATCACGATCAAATGATAGTAAGTGTTTCTCTTATCCTATAACCCAATGTTTTAACTGATTTGAAAAAAAGATGAAAATTGTATAAAAAACGATTGAAAATTTCGCACGATATTTTATTGATGAAAACATGTAAAACACACATATCATAATTAAGGTGTATATCTTAATACCTTAATTGCACATGTACATTTTTTAAATCTGTCTGTGAAACAAGAAAAGAATATATTATTATTGCGCTTGTAAAATGTAAGAGAACTGAAATATCATGGACTTTTGCTGAGGGCAGTGCCACTCGGGCGTAATCTCTGATTCAATGCGACATTCTTAATCACGTTAATTTGACTTTTTAACATCTCCTCTGGAATCGAACGATAAATATCGACGAATAAAAATCTTATGAAAGGGCGCTTGAATAATTTAATAGCTTTCATTTGCACTGCGCAGGCAACAACGGATCTACGAAACACCTGCACGACCAGGCACACGGGTACTTCAGCTTCCGCCCCATTAGCCGCCGGAATATTGGCTCTCGCGCTGCAAGTAAAGTACGAACATACTCCCAGCAATCTCCCATTGAAACTTTTCTTTGAAACCCGGAAACGCTAACTTGATTACTAGTACTCAGCTACGGGTTATTTTTAGTTGCGCCGTCAATGAAAAAAGGGATACTTTACTCCGGTCCAAAAACTTTCTTCTCTCATAACGCGGTATATTTGCCCTATTAACGCACATTAACTCCGCGAGTTTCGTGAATTCAAGGAATTGAAATTTAAACTTTATTATAATATGATATCGTATAATTATAACAGAAGAAGCAGTATAATTAATGTAACAAGTAACAAGAACAAGTAACAATTAATGTAGGACGAAGGTAAGTACTATATTAAACAAATATGCTGTATAGTAATCCATAACGATATACATATTACAATAAGGCTCACTGTTATTATTATGTCAAAGTTTCGTAATTCGCGTATATTACTCTCTAAATTTTTTGGAGTGAAATCTCACTCCAAGGAGATACTGACTGCCGCTCAAATGGTCGAGTGACAGTATTTTCGCTGAAGTGAGATTCACTCCAAAAAATTTAAAGAGTAGATAATTTGGATCACAAATTACTTTTATTACGAAATTTTGCGTTTTTTATTAAAGTTAGTTTTAGTCCTTATTATTGTTATTTATATATAATTTTGTGATTGAATTTCTCGTAGCTGCAAAAGCATAAATTTCTCTAAAGATTAAATTCTCTAACAAGTAGATAAAATATAAAAGGGAAAAAGGAAAAGAAAGAGACAAATAATTTAACAAAAAGTTTTAAGAAAATCAAGATATTAAAAAAAATACTACTAACAAGATTTGAATATGCGTATATTCTTGAAATATTTCTTTACGATTTGTTCTTTTTCATCTTCATTATGTCTTAAGTATATATGTAAGACCGATATGTGTGAAATATGCAATATTCGATACACGTCATCGGGGAAACACGATATATTGAGTTTCGATTTATTCTCGATTAATTCACGGTCCGAAATAAAGACGTTATTTCAGCAGCAAGTAAATATTATCGATATTTTAATCGAAGGCCATACTAAAACGACTTTTCTTTATTTTTACAGCAACAACTTAACGTGGAGGGACATCCAACATCTGATAGCTTGGTCGTCGGAATACATTCCTCTCAGGTGAGCGTATCTCGAATAGCGATTCAGGCCACGTGTATCTGCAATTGTACCAGTTTAAATTCTTATTCTCTCATGCTGCGGCAGAATAGGTCGCAACGACGTTTGCGATATGAAACCGTAATTCAGATGAAACCCGCAGGAAATAATTTTTCTTGCTGCTAAAAATAATTTTCAGTGCGATCGACTAGCTGTGATTGACAAGCGAGGTCGCATAAGGATTCACGAAGCAAAACAATATGAATGCTTAATTAGCAAAGTGCTAATTAAGACTCTCAGAAGCCAGTTTTTTACTCTTTTTTTCCCAATATTTTAGCATCAAAGCACATAATTATAACTTCAATTTTCATAAATTTTCCCTCTTTTTGTTTCATGGACTTGATGAGTTTTGCTTCTAAGAAACTTAATCGCCTTCGAACATATTCTCTGACATTTTTTTTCAATCTGTTTTCAAGTACGTTGCGTACAAATAATTTAAATTGTTTGGAAAGTCCAAAATAATTTTTTGACATTTTGAATAGGATCGTATTTGTTACATTTTTCACAATATCAAACACAGAAGTCACAGCTGTGCCATGCGTGAAAATTATTTCAAACAATATGATGTGTAACTTTTATCGAATAGTTGTCAAAGAAACGAGGTCGCGCGTACATCTGCGGCGGAAGAAAAATTGCTGTTCGATCAGCCTACCGGGGATGCGTACTACGCGGACGATCATGCATATTTCTGTCCGTTATTACTCGTTCTCGTAATTTATATTGCGTGCTAATTGCCTTCTATTGTTCTCTCGCGTAAATTATAAAAGCGATCGTGATAGCTTTCGCAGTAACGTGCACCGTTCGCGTTGATGAGAATTAGTTTGTATAATCGTATTTCATACGTAAACATGTGATATTTCAGACAATTGGTGCTACGAAATATTTTATTTTTATTCAAGGGCCAGCAATATCAAGCTTCGTTGCAATAATCCTCTTCATAAGGGATTATTTCCGGGATCATTGTTACTTTGAAGAATTTCAATAATAATGCGAATATCATTTTACTTCCATTATAGAAATTTGAATAAGAGAGAAAGAAATCGAAAAAGTCGAGGAGAAGAATTTTTTCACTTTGCACACGCTTACGGCATCTTCTTTTCCCAAGATAAGAGTTTTAATATTTGCATAAATTTTCAGCGGAAATCCGGGCTGGTTTAAAAACGCCGCTGGATTCTGGTTCAACTCACGCTTCGGTTTCGGACTTATGAACGCGTACGCGCTGGTAATGGCGAGCTACAACTGGACGACAGTGCCGGAGAAGACTATTTGCAGAGTGGATAACGCGTACATGTGAGTAAATTAGTTTAGCGGATTTAGAACGGCGGCTTAATTGCGTGGTACGCGAACGTCGTACTAACCGCGCGAGCAGAGGTCGCACGAATAAAATTGATTAAATGCTTCTGTTCTTGCTTAAGCAGAGCAAAGCAAATATATCTGCGTGGCATTTAGCGTAGTTTATATTCAAATTACTAGAGCGGCAAAGCGTCCGATCTTACAGATCTTCTTCGTTTTTCTCCATTTATGTCATTACTTCTTTTTATTTTAGTTGCTCCGAACCGCGTAATTGCTAGATTAAATTTTTCCAATTTCAGTAAAATATTAATGCGAATTAACGATGAGATATTAATGCGGATTGAACACTTAAATATGTAGCCACATATTTACGCTGGATCGTTAGATTTTATTTTATACGTTACACATAGGTACCAAAAGAATAACGATCTTTCGCGCTTCTGTAATCCCCAAATGTCGCATGAATCGAATGGCGACCTCCTTTTTGGAAGAAGCATTTGCGGATGCTCGAAGAAGCGCGAGATAAGAAGCGCATCGTTAACTTGAACAAGATCGTAAAGGTCTTTCATTCGTTACATTACGACAGTGCGATAGAAGCGAGAAAATGGAGCGTCATGAGGGACTTTTTTCGAAATATACGTTTCTGAAAGGGCAATTTATTTGGCATCCGAAGACACTCTTGCAATTTTACTTAATCAGATCGCTAAATGTGCATAATCATTTCAAAGAGCCACGGCCTCTCGTACGTGTGACCGAAAACGGACGGTAATCTCGTTACAAAACGTCCCTTCAACCCGTGTAATACACACACGTGCCTCTACGCTTTGAGAATTTCCCTTGTTTCATGTCCGCGTTGTTACCTACTTCGCGCTGAGCTATTTGTGATTACTCTCATAATCCCACCGTGAGTGATGAGATACTCACGAGGACAGCTTCGTTAATTCGCTTTTTACGCGATGCTCTACAACATTATTATATAATTATTCTTATATATAATTTCAAAGTTATTCACACTTATAATTATATAATAAAATAACTGTGTATAGCTAATATATATATATATAATATACATAGATAATATATCTGCATACTACAATATATAAGCTATATATAATTATTATATTATTTATATGTAAAAGTTTATATTTACAAAAAAATATATACCTACATATAATATTTTTGATAAAAATTGTTTCAAAGAGTATCTGCAAATTTAAATTGTACATCAAAGTCTGCAAGTTCTTTTTGTGATCTGTCAATATTTCAAAAATATTCGATGGCTCCGGCTTTTCGCAAAACGCTTATTTTCAAATTCCATTGCTCACACGCATAAATATGCAATGTTTTTTCGTTGCACAGCGCCGATATCAAACTGATTTATGGATATTCAAAGAAACTGCAATTCGATGCCGATAACGTTTGTCGGACACCAGGGAGCGAAATAATCTTTCTGGAGCATGTGGAAGTCGAGGCGAATCTCGAGTACTCTCGCCGCGGCGCACTGCAGATGCGTCTGACTGCGCCTTCAGGTATTTTATATTTTTGACTTTTCAAACCATTTATCTTCGAAAGTTTCCTCTACGTGCCTCGACTGGTAAATAAAGTACCCGTATATGTCCAACGAGATCAGAAAATAGAAATTTTTCTCGTTTCTAAGTGTCTAACTATGAGAAAAAGTGATAAAAGTGTAAATAGCACTTTTAATAAAACTTGTGCACAACAAATGGGTCGCATAAGTCTCATGAGTCAGTTTACTCGGCTCTGCTTCATTTGGAATGCACCTCTGGAAACGTCAATCTTCATTTGTACCCGACTTATAGAAGTGAAAAGAATGGAAAGGCGAGGAAATAACCATGAGAATGAGTCGCAGAATGGGCCGTTTCACGTTCTTAGGAAATTTGAGAGACTTCTAAAAATATCATGCAAGAAAAGTTCTCTACAATTATATCGGGGCTGAAGTCTCCGAGAATACTCCCGGAGGCTAAATGCAAATGCATTTAACTACACATTCATAGAAATTCGCTTGTCAACCGAATTTATCGAGTTCTATTCAGGGTTACGTTTGAGTTTATGAAAGAGGAAAGGACTAAAAAATATGCGAATAAAAGAAATACAAAAATAGGAAGAAAAATATTAACGTAATTAAATATGTATATTAAATATTTATAAACTAAATTATATTATGTAACTTTCTTATGATTACGTAATTTCTAAAATAAAAAAGAAGATATTTTAATAACTTTTTAATTGTAATTGTAATGTCTTTGCAAAGAGAAAATAAAAGATAATTGATTTCTTAATATATATCTTTATGCATCATATATCTACCTGATAAAATTCAGTATTCATCTGTTTCTTTTTGTAAATCTACTATTAAAAATAGATTTATTTGAGTAAGATTGATTCCAGTGATATTTTATATATCACTAAGTATATTTTTATTATGAATTTAAAAATTAAAGCAGCAACGTAATTAGAAGAAGAAACATTAAAAATTAAAATATATCTATATTCTATTAAAATAAATCTTTAGAGAAATTTTTCTTAATCTGTGGAATGAATAGACAATACGCAATTTCAACATTATCGATCAAACACAAGAGTATTGCACAATTTGATATAACACAGCTTTGTTAAGGAAACGCAGCAAATAACAAACGGATAATTCTGATAGAATTAATATCGCCATTAATATTGCAAGTCACGTTTCTATGTTGCATAGCAAATGCAGTTAACAGCATAAATACGTTCTTACTTCAATTTATAGCTGGAAATTCAATTTAATGCTACTTCGATGCGGCCTGTTTATTCGAAGAGGGACAGAATTGGATAGAAATAGGATTTATTCGTCCAATGAAGATTGTCGAATACCGCGTTTAGTAACGTTACGTTAATATATAAACCTTATAAATGTATAATAAATGTCAGAAAGGAACTCTATAACGTGGTGTCAAATAGAACGGTGCTTCAAACGCGAACACGAACGAATAGATAGCAATCATCACGTTGGCCAATGCGTCGTGTTATTTAATTCCGTACACGTTTGCCCGATTGACGTTGTTATCGACAGACGGCGTCACTCGTGTCAGAATACCGAAAGAAATTCGAAATATATTGAAATGCCAGAGAAAGGAACAATGAGTAAAAACGTTCAGACGTATCTAATGCAACAGTATCGTAGCTGTGGGATTTAGTCTTTTTTTTTTTAGAATTCACAGATTTTACTGGCAATGTTTCAACGAAAGCACGCTCCGTTTCAAATAAAATCAATATATAGTATTGCATTTTTTATAAATATAAAAGAGTAGGAACGTTTTGAACGTGAGGCAACTCTTAACAGCAGCCTTTTTCGGATCAAATTTCAAGATAAACTGTATAAGATAACCTATATATTCTTAAAATTACAATTTTTCGGTTTCGGACATTTACGTTCTTTATTAGAAACTTTTATTTTTTATTAAACCGTTCTATAAAAACATTTAATATTATTACAGTATTATTATTATATAAAAATGTCTATAATGAAACAGTCTAATTTTTTATGTTTTGTCATTTTTTGTATTTCTAACATCAATGAATTTAAATTTTTAATTTTAATATAAATATTAATTTAAAAATTTTACATTTTATTTCTCTAACTCGTTTCTATTTCTTGTAAAAAAGATAATAAAAATACTTTGACTAATGCAGTAACATTTTATTTGCTGTAAAAAATACAATTTTTTTATTTATTAAACATCAAGAGAGGCTTGAAATTGAGATTTATTAGAATAAAATAATTCACAATTCGTGAAAGTTTATTTAAAAAAGACGACGGCATTCCTTTTTATTTCACAAACTTTGTAATTAGGTCGTGTGTACAATATTATTCAAATTGCAAGTTCACTTACACAATACGAGAAAAAATCGATAACATTTACATGCAACTGTATAATTAATATCCGTGTTTTGCGGAACCGATCGTATTTAATTATCTTTAAACAGAATGTGTGCGCGTGCTTGTAATAACCAACGTGTGTAATGAATCAAATTTAATTTGACGTTTTCACATTAATTGTGATAAGATCTTTCTTTCCTGTAACAGAAAAATAGAAAATACCATAAGAAGATATTTATCACGATCATATTCTTAAAATTGTGTTTGTGCATTTACGTATCCGTACACAAATTCTACTTATACAAACTATATATTTCGCTTCTTAGGGACCTCAATCCAGATTCTAGGTTCAAGAAAGCTAGATAATTCTGACGCTGGTTTTACGAAGTGGAAATTCATGTCCGTCGCAACGTGGGGCGAAGATCCTCGAGGAACTTGGACCTTGGACATACTTGACGAAGTAAGACTGCAAATATCTTACCGCAAATTCTAACATGTTATCGATTTATCAGGTCATTGCGAAAGATCTTTAAATATATGTACAATCTCTTCACTATTTCTCAGAAAATGTTGTCCACAACGATATAGTACTAAACAATGAAAACAGAACATAAATTGGATCATAATATAAAATGTAGCTATATCCCTTTCTACCTAATGTGAGATACAAATTTCCATAAGAAAACTCATATTACCGTGAAAGCATTTTATACTAAAAATACAGATATACTTGGTGCTATGAATCGCTCTCGGAATATGTATATTTAATAGCAAATACAAATATAAATTCAGGGAAGGGTGTTTTTATATTGAGCACATATACGTAGAGGAGGGTTCACTCCCTTTTCCATCAAACATCTTAAATTACTACAGCCTATGGATTTTAAAGGTATACGCGTGTATATATAATACAAATACATTTGTATGAATTTTACATAACATTTACATAACATTTACATACAAGTAAAAATATTGTAAATTTCCAAGACTTCTTTTTTCAAACTGGATACAGCAGGATACATGATTCCGTACAGGGTGGCGATTTACATAAATCATCAAAATGTTTAATGCAACTGATTGATCGAAAATCGATCGGTTGAAATTACCTCGTTCCCGCATATCCGCAACTGTCATGTGTGCATATTTGATCGTGTATATTTACGCGCTTTTAGATAGGCCCGGAGCAAAATAATGGCACAATTGGAGTATTTACATTAATTCTACACGGTACCGTGCAAATTCCGATTTACCGCCGAAACGGACCGCGAATCTACAACAAAGACTACAATCGAATACGCAACACCGTAAGTAAACACATATACAATTCGATTGTTTATTATGTATTTTACTAACATCGCTCGTTTCTCTCTCTTTTTCAGCACGATGTGGTAGAATCGAACGCGGTAAATCCTATAGAAAATGAATACGACCAAGAGATATCAGAAATAAATAGCATTTGGTACAAACAGTGGTTGAAGAAGCTACTAGAATTATGATAATCAATTCCCTAGTATCTCATTGAAACAATTATTAAATTATTGAACCAATTAGAAACATTTTAATAATTACCATGATATCTTTCAAAACACAATTATTATGATTATCCCTCACAATTATTAATTCTCACACAGACTTGCGTCAAAATAAACTAATTGTGACAGTGATAGCTTTTATTAGTCATATCGAATTTCTATTCTGAGAATACGACGTATGAATACATTAATTGCAAATTTATGAGAATTTGCCAACATGTACAACATTAACAAACACTAGATAATGTCTATGATATCTTTGATTGTGATTGTGATTGTGATATCTTTGTATCAATGGTAGCGTAATTGAACAAATTTCCTGGGAATACGCCAGCGAAGGGAGGGGGGTTCTTTGTAACATCCTATATGCGTATAATCCGAAATACGTAATTCACCTTTAATTCATTATACGTTGAGTGTATCTCTCCTATCCCTTTGTGTGCGGGGCTGTCTGGACTATTTAACAACTGACACTGGCGGTAATAAACATTGCTGAAATTCGAGACGGTACGGAACTGGATAATAGCTCTTGGCCCTTGTATGCATACAGGATACACTGTAAATCATGAGTTACAGGCGGACGTAACTAAACCAAAGCGGACTTGCAAATCACGAGCATTAACTCCTTCGCAATTCATGCATACAGCTAAGATTCCGTAACGAATCTTAAACAGTGACATAATTATGCGTACTTGTCAATTCAAAATTTCAATAATCTCAGCAAGTTATTTTTTTAGCTTTGAAATATAATCGCCTTGTATTTTTAATTCTCTCTCTCTCTCTCTCTCTCTCTCTCTCTCTCTCTCTCTCTCTCTCTCTCTCTCTCTCTCTCTCTCGAAATAGGATCTCGCCGAAAAAGATTTGTGCAGTATAATTAAAGAGATTTTAATATTTTCTAGATTAAAATACAAACAGACAGATATTTACCGTAAAATTTCTCGAATCGAATTTTCCGAGAAATTTCCTTTCCGAGAATATTCACTTTAGATATTCAAGCTCTCTTAGCCATTCTCAGAATCTACATATTCGGCTTTGCAATCGTGAAATGTCGTATAGATCCAAAGATACATACGAACATTTCCCTTTGCCCGTACCAGCGATTACCATATAGGAAAAGAAAGAAAAACATTTGAGTTTGCAATCTGAATCATCTTTACAACAGATAACATTTGCACTCCACATTGAACATTTGAATTCAGTATGAAGCGTATGCGAAATTACATATTTTATTCTTTGTTACGTTTTGCAGAGATGAAATTTTATGTAAATAACGAAAATTCTCGGATTTTAATTTTACATAATATAGAAAGATGTTGCAATAAACGTCGATAGTATAATAAATTGTTACCAATGTAAATACAAAATTTTATGTTTGCAATATTTTATAAATTAAAATAAAAAGTAAATCTAAAAAAATATATATATAAAAATATTAAATAACATATTTGTAATATTGCAAGTACGTAAAATTTTTACATGTTTTATCAAATCAAATTATTTTTGTTTTCTCTGTTTTAAAAAATATAGGTACGCAGTTTTTCTGTACGAGAAATCGCATATTATATCTTTCTTTAAAACAATATCTAATTTATTAACAAGAACCAAACAGTCAATGCAAAATAAGCAGAACTTGTAAAAGAATAACAGTATGTGTGAGATAAAAACTATCTAACCTCGGTTACAATTTAAAAATAATATTAATTGAATATTGGGGACGTACGAGTATATTATAATAATTATATATAAAAAGCTACTTTTATATGTATATCTATTCTTTAAACTAATGATCTGCATAATTCGTAAAAATGTTCTGATCTAATGTAAAAACAGTTTTTTCAGGGCAAATACTACCGCTTCTATACACCTGCACGTTTCGGCTATAAATCACTCGCTGCGCGAGCCTGCAAAAATTGGACTCACACAAGCTTACGGGCATCTTTTTACGATGATATATAACTTCAAGCACAAACAAAATTTACAAAACTATTTATTGTAACTAAAAAAATATCAGCGAGAATCCTTCGTTCCTTCCGATATATAGTATTTTCTTTAGAATCGCGTGACGCGTAGTTCATCATTTATTTCTTTTAAATATTAAGCTTGGAAGCAACACTTGAAACAGGTAGATAGATTTGTTCTGGTACGTAATTTACCGCCGCTCATTTAGAAAATTAGTTTTGCGATGAATTAATTCAACGCTAAGAAGTTGGCCTAAAGTAATTTCACGAGGAAGATGATCCTGCGCGTCGCTCTAATGTCATGTGCTTGCTGAAATTGCACAATAATGTTCCTGGACAATTCATCAAACTGAGAACCGCAATGACAAAACCAGGTAGCTTCATTATTGATAAAATCAAATGATACATACCACAATTTCAATTGACTAATGCCTGTTTTCATAAACATAGATTAATTTTAATCTAGATTCAACTAACTTTCCATCTTTTTTTCTAGTAAAAAAATTAGAAAACCAAAAATTATGAAAAGATGAAAAGTAAGTTGAACATCAAATTTACATTGGTGGATATTGGCATAATATATTTACATAAATGAATAAAATATAAGTAAATAGTAATCTATACGAAGTTTTACATCAATCAATAATTGATAAGTAAAATGTATGTAATAAGTCATATGTATCTACAATTAATAAAATAAAGTGGAATCAATATAGAAACGTGCAATTAGTCGATTTTATATATTTTGTAAATTTTTATTTTTTTTATTATCATTGTCTTTGAAAAACATTGTCAAAATATTAATACCTTTTCAAATATAAATATCAGTAAAACTATTAAAAGTGTTTTATGAATTAATCGTTTTTCGAATAAGTAATAGTTCTTCATCATTTTTGTATAATTGAAATTGAAGTATCTATCAATTAAACTTTTAGAAAATAAGAAAAGTAATAAAATTTCTTTAAGAAAAATTAATTTTAAATTTAATTTTTAGCGTAGCTTCAAATACATTAATTCTTTTTTACAAACTAATAAAGTAAATGTAAAACTATTTATACAACTTAATCGTGTATTACACGTGAATTGGAAAGTCAAAATCTAAATTATATTAGAAAGACAAGATAAATAAGATTAAATTATAATCTAAAGCTAAGGTAAACTTGAAGTGAAGCAAAATTAAATTTTGACGTATCTCTAGTAGAAACTCTGTGGTGTACAAATTACGATATGCTCTCGAAAATTAAATACATCCCACACATTTATTCAAGGATCCGTTAAACTTTAATAATAAAATTCCAAGATTAATTACAACTATTTGCTTTATTTCCTCGAACATTCCATATGTTTTTACTAATACATAGTAACATAACAAAGTTGACTATGTCCTGCGTATTGAAACTAATTTCGACTATATTTCCTTGTATCTACATATCCACGCGTGAAACTTGAATGTAGTTTATCCATCGAGGAGTTGCAAGTTTGACGTACTTTTTATTACAGGTAGCTCCATTTTTAAAACTTTAGATAGATTCATGAGACCAGATGCTTGGTAAAAAAATTGCGCTATACGTATCAGCGCATATGTAATGTATTACTTCCCGGAAGTTTACCTGCTGAAATAACGCGTTTAAATCACTTCAAAGGAGTCTTGCTGCTTTCGTGCATCGGAGTCTTTTCATAAATAACAGCTTTCACTCAGTTATCCGACATTAAAAATATTATCCTGAGAGAGAGAGAGAGAGAGAGAGAGAGAGAGAGAGAGACTCATTCTTACAATTAGATAATTGGATAATTAAATTTTCTTTATCTATCGCACACAAGCCATTTTTGCAAGATAATATTTAACTTACCTACATCCCTCAGGCGATGAGTTTGATTGACGATCAGAAGAAAAAACCCTCAGCATAATCTACGCAATCATTTCCACAAACATGCGAGGCGATCGATATTGCTACGCAATATTATTTATTTGCTTCGCGTTATTGCGCCCTACGTTATTGCTAAAGTTTCGGTACACTGATATCCTATGTGTATTGCAATACGATCAACCCCGTAAAACCGCAAGTAGGAATTTGCGCTGCGACGCAAATTAGCGATGATGTAATTACATTTCGCATCGATTGGGAACGAATAAAAATTATCGACGCCTACGCACACATCATTCCAAAAAAAGATATCCTTGACCTTTTTCAACGAACGACTTCAGATGTACGACTTTCGATGTACGTATTTTGTAAAATCGGAGGGCTATGCATTTATCAGAGGAAGCGCGATATTATAGCGGACGGCTTAATAGTGCCGAAATAGCGGATCTGTGCGACAAAAATACAAATCGATATACACTAGAATTTTATATTTTTTTCCGGGTAAAAATCCCAGATTTTTTTTATCGAGAATTTTTATATTCTATCCCTTCTTATTCTACGAATACAAATACGCAGTTTTTGATTCTACAAGAAACTGGACGTTCTTTTAAGAGTGTACTTAATTAATTAACAAGAAGCAAGCAAACGATTACTAGGTCGTTATAAAGACTAATAGTAAAAGGATACTTGTTGTCACGTGAAAGAAAATAATATATAAATAATTATTCTCTAATTACAAAAATTGTCTTAATGTACTCTAACAGTACTTTTTAATTATGACGAGTATGTTTCGGTTACTAAGTACTTAGCAACAGAGTTTACATTTTCTTATTAATTTAATCATTTGGTAGCATAAGCATCTATTAATCTTTTAAAATATACATCTATCAATATCAAATACTTAGCATTATTAAAAAATTTTACAATATTTGTATAATCTGATTTTTTTTTAATATTGCACGGATTTATTATCAAAAGTTAATCTTGTTGTAAAACACGTAAAGCAGAAAATGTGTATAATTGTAATATTGTCGATATGTTATTTAAATTTTGCAAAAATGCAAAAATTCTCAAGTCAGAATGATTGCACTTTTGTTCACTGCGGTGCTTAGTATCATGGTAGAACAGGCAACGAAGAATAGAAAAAAATTGCTGCGATTTCGAGACGATTTTAAGCTGCTTCCAAATCGGCAAGTCCGAATGCATGCCAACTAGAGCGACTATAATAGTGGTCCAACCCTCCACATGGCTGCGCTACCGTCGACCTAATAACGAGGGTGCCTCACAGGCGAAAGGGGGTTGATTTGGCCAGTAGCATGCCGCCTCTCGTAGCGTGAATATCGGGCGGGCTCTCGGTGCGGAGGAATTGTGGCGAAAGAACGCGACACTCATTGCTCACCTGACTTTTCGACCTCATTCATCAGTGATCGAAGATCGAAGATTGAGAGAAGAGTGACGTTCTGTAGCGGCGACATTTCAGGAAAACGACACGTAAGCACGCGTTTAACGGAAAATTAAAAATTAAAAATATTAATTTAAGGAACACGAAATTAGGTAAACTTCATTTTAATTAACGAGTTTATACAGGTGTATAATAAGTAAATGTGTGGGTGCATGTAAATATTATATGTATAATGAAAATTTTGCAGTAGAATCATTAGGACTATAATAAAGCGCGGTAACTTGTCACTCGTGGTGAACTTTGTAAATGTAAAAGCTGAATGAAACCAAATCTTGTTATTAGTATTTCATTTTTGTTTTGAGGCACAAAAATAATGTCGTATCAAGTATTGCATTAATTGCAGGAATCGAAATGTTAAAATATATTTTACGTGAATATATATTTTTGTAGAGTACACTTTATGTGTATTCAAAAAGAAAACTGTGAAAAATTTGCACATAAATTTGCGTTCGTGATATTTGGCGAAATACTTGTGTAAATACAATTGTGACCCAATTGAATTCTAATGGAGGAAAAGAACGTAAAGACTGTTGACACGACCTGCGTCGTGCGATCCTACCTACTCATTCGACATCCATTTCTTATACGTAGTCTCTCGCTATGGGAGACATCCGCGCTCAAGACGAACTAATTAATCATCAGAAACGCATATACCCTTTACAATCCCCTGTTCATGGCAATTTAACGGATTCTTTAGCAAATTACACTTCAAGCGACTTCACGAACTAGTTAAAACCTATTTTCCGTTTCAAATCAGTTTGTGCTGGTATTCACGCTCTACACATCATTAGAAATTGTGAAAAATTTTATAAATAAGACTTATTTTTCTTTTTAGAAGTTAAATATTCTTCTGTAAATGTTATTTTAAATTATTTATTTTTTTCTAATTTGTTTTTTATTTGTTTTAACGAAAACATTGACTCATTATTATTTGTAAAAACATTTTTTTCAGTATTAAAATTTTT